CACAGTGAATGTGGTTTTTTTTTTGTGCGTAGCTGTTACACAAAATTGAGCGAGTGCGCTTGAAATGCACGAATTAAATGTACGTACTAAGTTGCGCTGCGGTTCGTGCGTTATAAACTGTATGCTTAATTTCCTGCAATGGCACGCTACACGATCATTTAAGTGTGGGGGATGTGCACTTCCAGATTTAGACCTGCATTTTCTTCTTTTGGTCTCGGGTTAGTTGCGTGACCCAGAACTACCGGGATGGTAGGTGGGGCCTTGTCATGCCCAGAGCTCCAGGCCTGCGACCGGCCAGTAGACTGATTCCGCGAATCGCTTTCGTCGCTCTGTCTCTCTCGCACCTACAGGGAACGTGACGTGAGTGCGAGAGAGACAGAGCGACGGAAACGACTCTCAGTCTGCTGTTTCGACTCTCCGCGCCGACGTGCGCAGATGTGGGCCAGCGAGTGCCACGCACACTCCACGCTGAGCTCCACCGGACGAGGCCAGACTTCGTAGCGGGGGCTTGCCAAGGAGGGAAAACGGACGCTGGGGAAGACACACGGGGAAATGGCCTTGGGGTTTGATAACAAGACTTCTTGAGGAACACGCGCGCCACTAGTTTAGAACTAACTTGGGCTATGCGCTCCGAGGATAATCTTTGAGTTTAGTATCATCACCTGCGGATCGAATGAAGTTTCAGTATCGATCGATGGTCAATATATCCCGCAGGCTTGCAGACATGCACTCATGACAAGTTATCTTAGGCCTAGGCTGTACAAACAAAAGAAGCTTCTTATAACAAAGCATGTTGAGCAGACATAAGCTTTACAAGGAAGAAACAGTTCATAATGTTCGAACTAATTCTTCGTGTAACAAACTAAATAGTTGCTCTAAATCTTGCCTTGACGCTAGCCACCAATTGCAGCTTACGGCCATAAGTGCCCGACCCCCCTGACCTCGCGGGAGGGAATCTCACATCCCCCCGCCCCCTCCCTGTGGCCCCGCCGCAAAGCCCCGGGGGGCCTTTTGCCTATCATGGTAATGTGAGCGCGTTCAGCCCCCGGGGCCGCGTCGGGGGCTTTCAGACAGGCGTCCGATGCGTGAGGCGCGTGAAGCGCGTGAAGCAGGTGCTCCTGTGGGAGCGGCGGTGGGTTGCTCGCACGCACGTCTGGCATTCCCCCTGCAGACTGAGAGTCGTTTTCGTCGCTCTGTCTCTCTCTCACCTATACGGGGCGCCCGCGAGTGCGAGAGAGACAGAGCGACGAAAACGACTCTCAGTCTGCTGTTGCTGTTTCGACCCTCCGCGCCCGGCGTTATTTGCTTCTTTGCGTACGCCCCGCGCGTCAAGACCATATTGCAGCCCGTTACCGTCGCATGCGTGAGCGCGCCCATTGGGTTCAAACTCAGCCGTGTGCATGACCGAACGACCTTGGAGCCGTAATACACTCCCAAACGGCTCGCGGGGCAATACATGTGAACAAAACGGTGTTTTGCTACGAAGTATATTTTGGGTACCACCTAAATTGCTATTTCAAATGAAATGGCCTTTACTGGTAGAACCGAAGCGTACTTTGGTTCCTTTCTTCAAGCGAAGTGGCTGCTAGGCTCGGCTTTAAGCGCAGTTCTCCGTCCCGCTCCTCTTCAGCCCAAGGGTTAGTTGGGTAAGAAAAGAACAGGGCAAGAAAAATGCACCCTTCTGGTATCTTGGCTGTTTGAGCCATCCCTGGACCTGTCATTGCTACTGGCAATTAAAACTTGACTGCTAACCCTCTTGTCAATTGGATGTGGAGGCGTCTACAGTAGACCAGGAGGTGTACTTTCCATACCCCGTACTTTTCCTCCCCAATTTGCCGCGACCATTTCGAACAAAGAGGCAAATTTGTAATATTTTATAAATGTATTGTGTTGTAAGGGCAACAACACTGTATCACCCAAATCGTACTATCACCCAAATTTGAGCATGGTTTCCTCGAATACTGTTTGGGCATATGGGTAGCTAATACTCCATTTATCACCCATAACTGGGAATCATATCATCACCCCAATATGATCCTCGCCCAAATTTGGGTGATGAAGTAAACCTCGCCCGAAATTGGGTGCTGATCAAGACTTCTTCATTCTTAGTGTACTTTCAGTGTAGACATCTTGGTAGACATTCAAACTTGAAGCTTGACACTTGTGTCAACTGTCAGCTCTCGTCCCACCCTTTTTGAGTTTCTGGAAAAGCGGCAGCGACTGGTGGCGCGAAGTGGGGTGTGAAAGTGAACCGGATGTCGTGGCGACGGCCGCACCGGAAACGGGAGGGCCAAACAGCCTCGCAGTGACAGCGGCGCCACGCAATGCGGCGCGGCACGATCCCTCTTTCCAGTTGAGATTTGGTTGTTTGTTTTGTTGTTGTTTTTCTTGACACTGGAGAAGTTCCATGGCCAACAACAACAACCTCGTTATGTCGGGGGGCGGCAACGGCCTAGGAACCGCGTGAAGCCATGCGCGAGTGAGGCGCAGGGGTTACTTATTTTGCTTCGATTGTAAGATCTAGCCCGTTGATTGCAAAACGCTTTGCACAGATCAAAAGTGCACAAAATTTGGGGTGCATTAGGCCTAAAAGACTGCCCGATACTTCCAATTCAACCGAACACAAGGGCGGAATCATTTACAGCAACATAGCGCATTCGAGTTTTTTCCTAAATGTGATGATTTCTCGTGTTTTTTTGGTGTTTTCACTGCACCTCAATATCAGGTAAGAGGGGGGAGGGGGTTGAGAAGATCAATCAGCCTAATGCACCCTAAATTTCAAGCCCTTTCCATCGGTGCAAAGCGTTTTGAAAAACACAGTCTAGTTTTCATAATCTCGAACAAGTGCGCAACCTCTGCACTGACGGCGCGAGCATCGCTTCACGCTCTTTCAAGACCTTTGCCACCCCCTGGTTATGTCTTGTATGTACCCCAACTTAAGACGGGGCGCTATAATGTACAGTGGTCGGACGAGATGTTAAGCCGAGAACCTTGCACCATTCTGATGGAATTTTGCTGTAGATCGTGTTTGTTCGCTCTTAATAAACTTCTCTCTGATGAGATGATCGTAACGCAAAAACGAAAAAGCCGTGATATTGCTAACTGACCGCGAAGAACTAGTTCTTCTTTTAGAGAAGAATGAAGTTTCCAACTTCTTTTACAGAAAAATACTTATCATGCTTCACCTCAACAAATACACTGATAAAATGTTCCACGCTCTTCCATGTCGCAAGTACGATTCACCGCACCCGTTTGGGTGCACTCTGTGGCAGCATTCACCGTGTGGCGCCGCCAGGGCGCTGCGGAAACAGATTCAATCGGTCGAAGCGAGGAAAGGGGAGGGAGGCTGAGGGTGCTCATCAATTGCGGACAGGTAGAGGCGGACAATGGGGCAGCACGGCAGGGCAAGGCACGACAGGGTCCACGGCAAGGCAGGGCGTAGCACGCCACGGCACGGCAGGGCAGGGCCCAAGGCAAGGCACGGCAGGGCATAGCAGCATGGCCACTCGGCCCTGCGGTGCGGGCCTCCTCTCGAGGCCGAGGCCTGTTGTTTCGCGGCCTCTCTGCCCGTCGCCTCTGCGCACCCCTTTATGCTTGGTCTATCGGAGAGCCGTGCAGTGCCACCGTGCACCTGTCAAAGGGACGGACTACCCAGAGTGAATTTTCTTTCACTCCTTTTTTTTTGTGTCGGTGACGGCGGTGGCGGTGGAGGGAGGCTGGAGGCCGTTTCCAAAGGCTGCTCTCGCAGCTCTGTCTCTCTCGCGCCTATGTGTGCGGTGTTTCGTGTGGAGACGAGAGAGAGAGAGAGAGAGAGAGAGAGAGAGGGAGAGAGAGAGAGCGATGAAAGCAGTGTTCGAAATCAGCCCCGAGGGCGCGGCTACCCAACCGTTCCCTAGGCCCCTTTGCTGCCGCCCCGTCCGCCCGGGCCTTTTCAGCCAGCGACCCTTGTGTTGCCTTGAGGACCCTCTCTCCCTGATTCCGTGTTGGTGGTGTGCATTTCGGCTACCCTGCGCGACAGAATAACGAGATGAATGCGACGACAGGCCGGCAGCAGACTGATTCCGTTCACTCTTAATGTTGTACAGTGAAGATTCTCCATACTATGGTGAAAATGTTCCATATGGTGGTGCAGCTGCCTTCGTGACATACCATTGAGAATTCACTGTACCTTATAGATATTTTGACGAATTTCGTTGGTATTATGGAGAAAATCTCCTCCATAACGTCATGTTGGTGCAGCCTTTCACCCTAAGACATTCACAGTGTTGACTGATTTTCGTCTCTCTGTCTCTCTCGCACTCACGGGTCGTCCTCAGGTGCGAGAATAGCGGAGCGACGAAAACGGCTCCCGAAATCAGTCTGCAGAACTTCGGGTTTTGGACCCTTGCCCCTGAACTTCCAGCTTGTCAAGCTCCATGTCCGTTTGGCCGTTTCGGTCAAATTTATGTGGGGAATAAATGAAAGCAAAGAAGATTAGAAGTGGGTTTCGCAATAGCTTTCCCCTTCTTCTCTGTATTGAAGGAGGCTGACATACTGACTCAGACATCGCATTCTGAGTGTTGATGCTGAACTGCTACTCACACTCAAAATATTTGTCCATATCTGTTGCCATATTTGGGCTTAAGTTACATAAGTTATGGACATTACTATTTCGATCGATACTGTATTTTCTTGAAGAACACTTCATCGCTTGTGATTTGTTAAAGAACGACAAACGGAGAAGGCTTCATCAAACCAATGGATGAGCTAAACGAAGTCATACTCGAGAGTGTGATACATCGTAGGAATCGCAAAAACTACAGTTATTTGGTTAACACCAAATTTTCCCTTGAAGTCTTCCAAAATGAATGCCAGTGCGCTGTCAGAAAAGCGCTTTCCTAGAGCCTTAAAAATTGCTCGTGTTTCTGTTGTGAGATCGTCGGTTGTTGATGTTTGATGTCGTCGATGTTTGTGGACCGCCACATCCCTGTTCTCATTGTGCCTCTCTCCTTCTGCCGCAGATCTCCGACGACGACCGCATGTCCCTGACCACGGCCGTCTCCGACGACGACGACGGCGAGAGCGCGCACAACTCGCCGTACCGCGCCAAGCAGACGGGCACGGCGGCGGCCTCCTTCAACTGCACGGGGGCCGTGCGGAAAGCGGGGTAAGTGGAGTGCAGACGTGGCTCCTGAAATATTCACGCACCAATCACTTATCTCAGCCACCCCCTCCGAAATCTGTCTGCGATACGGCCGAGCAGCGTCCGGCCGGGCAGTTAGCTGCAAATGCTCTTGGGAAAATGGGGCTGGGACACAGTGGGTCAGAAGCCGGTGGAGGCGGCCAAAACTCTAAACGCGTTTTGAGCTCCAGAGTCGCTGGGACTCGAACCGAACGTGTGACCCCACCAATGGATTGCTCTCCGAACGAGGAATCCATTGGTGGGGTCACACGTTCGGATCGAGTCCCATTTAGCGACTCTGGAGCTCAAAACGCGTCTAGAGTTTTGGCCGCCTCCACCGGTCTTCTGGTCCACTGTGTGGGAGGAGAACCAAGCTTAGGAACCATGGCCTCCACGGGAGATCAGAATGCACCCTGGAAAATATGTATCCTATTTTTTAAATTTTTCTCAACAATAATAGTGACGCGAAAAGTCAATACGTGGCTGAAAAGGGTTAGTCTACAAACTCGTTCTTCGAGAGGTGAAAAAGATGAAATCTACGCAAAAGTATTTAATAGGGGAGCAAGTTTATTTTTTATTGGCAGGCAGTCCTTGGTAATACGAACACGTCAATTTTCTCCGTACCTAAAATGCCAACCGTGTAGACAGTTTTAGTAACTGGGAAGATGAGGAAAAGGTCACTGCGTCCCAACCTGTGGTGCCAGGAAGAGTTAGGGAAATCAAAGAGTACTGGACTTCCTTTCATTTCAAAGAAACTAAACTTTTCATGCAAATTTTCGCACTGGAATTTCGCCTTTTAAATTTTGCGGAAGAAAAGTTGAGAGGCTCGCTGACATTCCTGCGAGCATGGGCGGGGCGCGAGAGAAGTACATTTACATTGTGTCAGATGCGTCGCCGTTTTCCATTAATCACGTTACAGTGGCGCTGATGACGGCCTGTTCGGAGAGGAGTGCGGACGCCCATTCCCACTTGTCGTCGCTCTGTCTCTCTCGCACGCCCACGGAACGCCCCGTGAGTGCGAGAGAGACGACGAGAGCGCCGCGCACCGCTCCCGGAATCGGCCTCCAGGGTGACACG